AAAGCCTATGATGGTGTGTACTATATCATATAATAGTATGCAAATAGTCGACCAACAATTCATTTTCCAGCTGTCTAGACGCTATTTGCATATGTGCATATGCCTGCGTGTTCATTTCAAAGCTCAGTTTGGGTCACGGTCAGTATCACAAGGAATACATGTAATGGACATGATAGATATAAACGCATCAAAATGAAAAAAAACAAAACATCGCGACAGCTCACGCATCTGTTCTCTTAGTTTACAAATAACACTTTTCCCGCTCTAAAATCCCAACGGAAAAATTAAAAATTCAGCTGATAAAGTACTTAGTGGGATTGCTTGCAAGTCTTGTACAACATGTTACACGAATGATAACACAAAAGACTACGGTGGCCCATGTGTGATAGCACATATTCAATTTATCTCAGCAAAAAATAATAATTTCAGAGAAAATCACCCATCTTACAGTAACAATTTAATGTTGTACGGCAAAACTCACGATTATACCTTTCATTAATTATTTTAAGGAACAATTCCAATTCCATTTGTCATGACCAAACTTTATAATTGCCCCAGCAAAACTCCGTTTGCCACATCAAAAGTCTCACTAAAAATGTATCTCATAATTAAACTTTCGCAAAAATTGTTATTTCCCCACCGTGACACTGTCTAGATTAGATAGTCGAGTCAATGTGCAAAATAGCAAGCAAATGTCGAATTTACAACACATCTTCAACACTAATCGAGAGAACGGAAGTGTACAGCGACCGAGGATTTTGTTATACATATGGCGCCTCGCTGGCTCGCGATTTCACATACTAGTAATAAAAAAATATTAAAAAATGGTCGCGCAAACATAAAAGCTAATTTATCAGACACCGTGACTGAGCGGAGCGCACAACATGATGACGGATGGGGTGGGGGTAGTTCCATTGCTGCTATTGAGAAGCCATTTTCAGTTTAAGGTTTCGATCATTTTTGATTCTCCGATGGGTGGTTCTATTGATTGATGCATAAGTGGATTAGTTATAATATTCATATTATTTTTATACGACGTTATATAAAAATAATAATCACGAAGTGTTACAACTATTTATTTATGTAAATTGTACCTTAGAAGATATGAACGTGTGTATTAAGTTGGTGCTGGGGCTAGGCTACCAATGTATAATTACGGCTGCACTTTGCAAATCTGCATTCCAAAGAAAAGAAGGCGCTTTAGGCCAGTGTAAATAATGACGTTTTGACTGTGTGGGACCGGTCTTATGGGGCAAGCTTAATGTCAAACAGGCTTTGTAAAGTTTGGTAGACAATGTGCTAAATCTCTTCGAGTTTATCCGATTAAACTCCACTTTAAAATGCGGATATATGATATAGAAAGATATGCAAAATTTTAGCCAATAATGACGATTGGTTGGATATGCACAAATATGTTCACATTTGAAAAAAACAACAACAGGAAAGTGCACCATGGCAATATTGATAAACATAAATTGACAATTTAAATTGTCTGCATGCATATTGACCATGAGGATTGAAATCGTCATGGACTTAAATTGCATATATCTAGCTGCAATGCGTTTTAACGGCATGGGTTTGAACTATGTTATTGGTCTGTATTGACAATGTATTATATATACAGTAGTTCCGAAGTTTCGAACATATGGCCAGTACCTCTACCCGCTGAGCGCTAGTCGACTTGGCATTTACTACGTGCAATCAACCTCAAACATGGAAATAATCTGAATAATGAAACCCTTCTAGTCCGGGTCTCCTAGGCAACATTGTGCACAAGTACCTTGTCACATAAATACCCATATTTTTCTTCTCATAACATTGAAATTTGCTAATATACAAGTACTGATTAGGAAAATAAACAATAACGACTTGATATTTCTGTCATTCTGATTATAGTACTAGTTGCATGCCCCTATCTGAAGCAGTACTTAG